TCTGAAGTAATGAATTTAGGTAAAGGGGTGCAGAGCCAGTGGTGGTTTTGTAGGCAAACATTAATGCCTTGAATTTTATGCGAGCAGCTACTGGTAGCCACTACAAATTGATAAACAGAGGTGTGACCTGTATTCTTTTCGGCTCATTAAAAATTAATCTTGCTGCTGCGTTCTGGATTAATTGTAAAGGTTTGATAGACCTGGCTGGAAGACCTGCCAAGAGAGCATTGTAATAGTCCAGCCTGGACAGAACAAGAGCTTGAACAAGGAGTTGTTAAGCATGTTCCGAAAGAAACAGCATTTTTAGTGTAATATTTCTTTGATGCACTAAGTGCCGCTGTTGATTAAGCATGTTCTTGCTTTTAACATTCGTTTTTAGATCCTCCTCTTTCTGACATCATATTCTGCAGAATCTCTTTCATTTAGACGGTCTACTCTTTACACTAAAGCATCGATACATTCGCTGCCTGGTGTTTTCGGATGAACTATTTTCCAATCTCTCTGAATAATTTGTTCTTGGTATTTTCTTCTGTAGTGGAATAGACGACTTGGATTATGTCGGTTCTTTGTTGTTTTTTCGCCCAAAGAGGCGCATCTTTGACGCTGATTTCATCATGGCCAATACAGCATCTCGTGCTGTGCGTCTTTGTCATGGCCGTTGCGCGCGGGCAGGTCCGTTATTCTATTCCAGAAGAGATGATGAAGGGCTCGCTGGTGGGAAATATCGTTCAGGATCTCGGTTTGGATGTTAAGAGGCTGAAATCTGGTCGAGCGCGGATCTTTACGGAGGACAGTCGTGAGTACATCGGTCTGAATGTGGATAAAGGGACTCTGGTAGTGAAAGAGAGGATAGATAGAGAGGAGCTGTGCGCCCAAGTGTCTCCCTGCTCCTTGCATTTTCAGATTATTCTAGAAAATCCATTGGAGCTGCATAGGATTGATGTAGAAATACTAGACATTAATGATCATGCTCCTTCTTTCATGAACAAAGAGATTATTTTTCAAATAAGCGAATCAGCTTTATCTGGGGCTCGATACTCTATTGATAGCGCTAATGATCCAGATGTAGGTTTAAGTTCACTTCAGACATATAGATTGGATCCAAACGACCATTTTGTGCTCAAAACGTTGTCTCACACTGACGGTACTAAATACGTGGAAATGGTCTTGCAGACACCATTGGACAGAGAAAAACAGGAGGAGTATATTTTAATTTTAACCGCGTTTGACGGAGGAACTCCTCAAAAAACAGGTACAGTGAAAATAAACGTTATTGTCTTAGATGCAAATGACAACGCTCCTGTTTTTAGTCAGTCTGTGTATACAGCACTTGTCGCTGAAAATGCGCCAATGGGTTCATTAGTCTTAAAGATTAGTGCCACTGACGCAGATCAAGGAACAAATAAACACATGTCCTATTCATTCTCACAAATCAGTAAAAGCATATTGAATAGTTTCAGTATTGAGTCCACTAATGGTGATATTACAGTTATTGCCCCTCTAGACTTTGAGAAATCCAAGAAATACGAATTAAATGTGGTGGCGACAGACAATGGTGGTTTAACAGATACTGCTAAAGTGATGGTGGAAATTACAGACGTTAATGACAATGCCCCTGTAATTAATGTAATATCTTTCTCAAACCCTTTGCCAGAAAATTCAGCTCCTGAGACAGTGATAGCGATGCTGAATGTCAAAGATTTAGATTCGGGAAAAAATGGACAGGTTAGATGTTTAATTAATCCTAGTTTACCATTCCGAATCAGACAATCATCCTCAAATTTCTACAGTCTGATCACTGATCAGCTTTTAGACCGTGAAAAAATATCTGAATATAATATTACAATAACAGCTATTGATGAGGGCTCGCCTTCATTCACTACTAATAAAACATTGATTCTGAAACTCTCTGATGTCAATGACAACGCCCCTGTGTTTCAGCGTCAGTCATACACCGCATATGTGATGGAAAATAATTCGCCCGGAGTCTCTGTACTATCTGTTAAAGCGCATGACAAAGACGCTGGCAATAATGAGCATCATTAGTCTGGACAGCAGCGGAACACAGACACTCACGCATGCGCAAAGAGGAAAACTGAATAATGACGATTATTTTGATCAGGTGAGCTCGAGTGAATGGGTATGAATATGACTTGTCGGTGTCTGTTTATTTATTTATTTATTTATTTATTCTCTATCTGGCTTAATCAGTTTTATGGTTGTGCGCTGTGCTTAATTTAGATTTTTAGAGTTGTAATTAAAGAAATAGCAGCTGTAGTTGATATTTGCCGATAACATTTTGTTGACTATTCATTTTCACACCTTAGGACAAAACCATAACCTTTCGATGTTTTATAGAAAATTGGATACAGACACCGTCTTCTTCTTCTTATTATTATTATTATTATTATTATTATTAGTTTATTTTTCCAGTTGCACTCAGTCAGGTAAGAGTTTGTGTGTGCTTTTGTTCGCGCGCAATGAGTCACAATAAATCGTACCTGTATTACTTAAGGGCTGGTTTTCCGAGCCCGGTCTCATGAAAATGTGTATCAATAGCACGTTTTTCGGTTTCTATTTTGCGTGCTATTTATACGCAGAAATCGCGTGCATTTAATACGCAATGTCTTGGCGTGCATATGATACGCAGGCTTGGCGTACAAATAATACGCACATACCCCACACCCCTAATACTTCCTAACCATTGTGTATCATATGCACGACCAAGTCAATTTCTGCGTATAAATAGTAAGCTAAATAGAAATATAAACTCGTGGTATTGATACGCACATTCATGAGATCGGGTTAGATTTTCCGCACGACAAGGACTACAACGACAGCCTGGCTTTCTATCTGGTCTTGGCCTTGGCTGTAGTTTCGTTTCTCTTTATCGTGTCTATCATTGCCATACTGTCAGTCAAATGCTACAGATGGAGACGCGAGCAGATGTTTTACAAACCTGGAGCGAATCTTCCAGTTATTCCGTGTTATCAGCTTCTTAACGCAGACGTAGGGGGCACAGGAACTTTACAGCACGTGTACAATTATGAGGTTTGCAGAACCACTGACTCCAGAAAGAGTGATCTGAAATACGTCAGACCTTGCAGTTAGAGCATCATTAGTCTGGACAGCAGCGGGACACAGACACTCACGCATGCGCAAAGAGGAAAACTGAATAATGAGTATTCTTTTGATCAGGTGAGCTGGTGTGAATGGTTATGAATATGACTTTCTGGTGTCCATTTATTTATTTATTTATTTATTCTTTTTCTAGCTTCATCAGTTTTATTGTGCACTGTATTTTTTTGTTTTATTTTTTAGATTTATAATTTATAATTTAAGCACCTGTAGTTGAAATTTACTGTACCGATAGCATTTTCAAGACTATTCATTTGTCACACTTTTTCATATCTAAACCATAACTTTAGAAAAATATATATTTTATAGGAAATTGCATGCAGACAGTCTTTTTTTTTTTTTTTTTCCTAGTTGCGCTAAGACGTTTTTGTTGTGCGTATGTGTGCACGCATGAGCGAGTCTCATTGAATCGTACTTGCATTACTGGGGTTATATAGTTTATGTTTTGCTTTTGACTATTTTTCTTTCCTTCTATTCTTAGATGTTCGGTTTAGAACATAATTTTATTAATATTTCAGCAAAATTCTGCGTTAATGCAAAGTACACTACTTTGGTCGCAATTCATGTCATTTTCTGTATTGCTCTTTAACAGCATTTTTAGTGTAATATTTCTTTGATGCACTAAGTGACGCTGTTGGTCAGTATGTTTGGGCTTTAATCATTCGTTTTTAGATCCTCCTCCACTTTCTGACATCATACAGTCTGCAGAATATTTCTTTCATTCAGACGATCTCTGTTTGACACTGATGCATCGAGAAATTCTCTGCCCTGTGTTTTCGTATTAACTTTGATATTCTTCAATCTCCCTGAATAGTTTGTGCTTGGTCTTCTCTTCTGTAGTGGAGCAGAAGATTTGGATTATGTCGGTTCTTTGTTGTTTTTACGCCCAAAGAGGCGCATCTTCGACGCGGATTTCATCATGGTTAATGCGGCCTCTCGTGCTGTGCGTCTTTGTCATCGCCTTTGCACGCGGGCAGGTCCGTTATTCTATTCCAGAGGAGATGACAAAGGGCTCGCTGGTGGGAAATATCGTTCAGGATCTCGGTTTGGATGTTAAGAGGCTGAAATCTGGTCGAGCGCGGATCTTTACGGAGGACAGTCGTGAGTACATCGGTCTGAATGTGGATAAAGGGACTCTGGTAGTGAAAGAGAGGATAGATAGAGAGGAGCTGTGTGCTCAAGTGTCTCCCTGCTCCTTACATTTTCAGATCATTCTAGAAAATCCCATGGAGCTGCATAGAATTGATGTGGAAATATTAGATATTAATGATAATGCTCCTGTTTTCACACGCCAAGAAATACAGTTTCACATAAGTGAATCAGCTACACCTGGAGCCAAATTTTCTTTAGATAATGCGAGGACGAAGGAAATCCTCCTCTCAGCAGCAACGTGAGCGTGAAAATAATAATTCAGGACCAAAACGACAACGCGCCTCAGGTTCTGTATCCGGTCCAGACAGGCGCTTCTAGCTGTAGTTTCGTTTCTCTTTATCGTGTCTATCATCGCCATACTGTCAGTCAAATGCTACAGATGGAGACGCGAGCGGATGTTTTACAAATCTGGAGCGAATCTTCCAGTTATTCCGTATTATCCGCCTCTTTACGCAGACGTAGGGGGCACAGGAACTTTACAGCACGTGTACAATTATGAGGTTTGCAGAACCACTGACTCCAGAAAGAGTGATCTGAAATACGGCAGACCTTGCAGTGAGAGCATCATTAGTCTGGACAGCAGCGGAACACAAACACTCACTCATGCGCAGAGAGAAAAACAGAATATTGAGGATTCTTTTGATCAGGTGAGCTCCAGTGAATTATCGTGAATATGACTTTTTGGTGTCCATTTATAATTTGTCTCTTTCTGGCTTCATCAGTTTTATGGTTGTATACTGTACTTGTTTTATTTTTTAGATTTATAATTAAAGAAATAGCAGCTGTAGTTGAAATTTGCAGATGACATTTTGGTGACTGTACATTTTTCATACTTTATATCAAAACCATAACCTTTCGATGTTTTATTTAAAAAAATTAGATACAGACACTGACTTTTAAATTATTATTATACTTTTCCAGTTGCGCTCAGTCAACCAAGATTTTTTTTTTTAAGTGTGCTTATGTGTGCGCATGAGTAAGTCGCAGTGAATCGTACCTGTATTACTGAAGGGCTATATTATAATTTATGCTTTGCTTTTGAGTATTTTCTTTTCATCATATTCTAGGTGTTCGTTTCAAAACATCGTTTTATTCATATTTCATCAAAATTCTGCCTTAACGCAAAATAAATACTATTTTGGTCGCAATTCATGTCATTGTCTGTATTGCTCTTTAATTTTTTTTTTTTCAGTGTAATGTTTCTCTGATGCACTAAGTGCCGCTGTTGGTCAGTATGTTCGGGCTTTAAACATTCATTTTTAGATCCTCCTCTACTTTCTCTCATCACATCTGCAGAATCTCTCACTCAGACGGTCTCCTCTTTACACTAAAGCATCGATATATTCGCTGCCTTGTATTTTCGGATGAACTTTTATATTTTTCACCCTTTCTGAATCATCTGTTTTTAATCTTTTCTTCTGTAGTGGAATAGAAGACTTGGATTATGTCGGTTCTTTGTTGTTTTTACGCCCAAAGAGGCGCATCTTCGACGCGGATTTCATCATGGTTAATGCAGCATCTCGTGCTGTGCGTCTTTGTCATGGCCGTTGCGCGCGGGCAGGTCCGTTATTCTATTCCAGAGGAGATGACAAAGGGCTCGCTTGTGGGAAATATCTTTCAGGATCTCGGTTTGGATGTTAAGAGGCTGAAATCTGGTCGAGCGCGGATCTTTACGGAGGACAGTCGTGAGTACATCGGTCTGAATGTGGATAAAGGGACTCTGGTAGTGAAAGAGAGGATAGATAGAGAGGAGCTGTGTGCTCAAGTGTCTCCCTGCTCCTTACATTTTCAGGTCATTCTAGAAAACCCCATGGAGCTGCATATAATTGATGTAGAAATATTAGATATCAATGACCATGCTCCTGTTTTTGCTAGAAAGGAAATTGATTTTCAAATAAGTGAATCTGCTCTTCCCGGGGCTAGATTTTCATTAGACAGCGCCCAAGATCCTGACACTGGCACTAACGCGCTCAAGTCCTATACGTTAAATCCAACAGAGAATTTTGATATAAAGGTCCTATCACGAAACGATGGCTCAAAATACGTCGAAATGGTTCTTCAAGTGCCTTTAGACAGAGAGACTCAGCAGGAACACAAATTAACCCTTACAGCCTTCGATGGCGGCAGTCCTCAGAAAACTGGCACCGTTAGGATAAGTGTTACGGTCATAGACGCAAACGATAATGCCCCTGTTTTCAGTCTACCTGTTTACCGTGTATCTTTATTTGAGAATTCACCGATTGGCGCTGTAGTAATCAAGGTAAGCGCTACTGATAATGACCAAGGCGCAAACGGTGAGATTGCGTATTCTTTTTCACGCAGTTCTGGAAAAGCACTTGATTTATTCCATATTGACACAAATACAGGTGAAATAACCGTAGGAGGGGATTTAGATTATGAGAGGGCGAAGCAGTTTGAGTTAAACATCGATGCTACGGACAAAGGTGGCTTAACAGATTCTAGTAAAGTGGTAATCGACATTATAGATGTAAATGACAACCCCCCTGTAATAAGCGTGATTTCATTTTCTAACCCAATACCCGAGGACGCAGCGCCAGAAACTGTTATAGCGATGCTGAATGTCAAAGATTTAGATTCAGGTAGAAACGGGCAGGTTAAATGTTCTATTGCTCCAGATTTGCCGTTCAAAGTAAAGTCATCTGCGCAGAATTTCTACAGTTTGATCACTGATGAACATTTGGACCGTGAAAAAATGTCTGAATATAATATTACAATAACAGGTATTGACGAAGGCTCGCCTTTTTTCTCTACTAATAAAACACTGACTCTAAAAATATCTGATGTTAATGACAACACCCCTGTGTTTCAGCG